CGGCAAGATACTGGAGAAACACCAAGTAAAAACCATTTTTAAACCAACTCGAACCATCCAACAGACTTTGAAATCGGCCAAGGACAAACGGGATCCTTTATCAGCACCAGGAGTCTACAGAGTTCCGTGCAGCTGTGGAAGAGCATACATCGGCACCACAAAACGAAGCATAAACACTAGGATCACGGAGCACAAACGAAGTTGCAGATTGGGACAAACGGAAAAATCAGCAGTAGCGGAGCACGCACTACTAGACGGCCACCAAATACGCTTCGACGAAGTGGACATTCTGCACCAATCTGAAAGATACTACCCGAGACTCACCAGGGAGGCCATCGAAATATTTAAACACCAAAACAATTTTAACAGAAAAGAAGAAATTACGGCACTCAATCCAGATTGGAAGCGCGTTTTGCGCCAAACAGCATGTGCGCCGAGGCGTTGGAACCCCCACCCATCCCCCACGCATGAGCACACACGGCTGGACTGCATAAATACGACGGGGAATCCAGCAGTTGAATCAGTCTGTCGGAAAGCACGGGAGATCACTTCACCCACTGCCTCATCGCCTTTGATAATGTCCACCGCAGTTGTGGACGAAACGTCGAGAAGAAATTCCCATAGACCACGGCTTCAAAGCCCGGAAACATTCCTAAATGTGAATGTTTTAGGTGCCAGCGATACGGACACTCACAGCGCCACTGCACCCAACCGGTGAGATACGTGAAATGTGGTGCTGATTGCCAGCTACCTCGACCAGGCGATGGGGAGAGCCGCAACTGCAAGCGCGCTCTATGTGGCACCCAAGGACATCCAGCCAGCTGGAGGAAATGCCTCGTGTACCGCAAAAAGAAGATTCCGATCGTCCGCAAGGACAGAAAAACGACCCGAAGGAGGACCACCCCTCGCAGTATGCAGAAACAAGTAGCAGCAACGGACAGAGGGTCCTTAGAAGCCATTGTCCAGGCGGTAATGTCCTTACAGCTTTACAGTGGCGTCTTGGAACGTTAATGGGCTAAGGACTCGCCGTCCAGAGCTGGACGAGTTCCTGAACAAAAGGAATCCTTAAGTGGTAGCACTCCATCAAACCAAGGTAGCAAGTAATATTAGGCTTAATATATAAGATTATGAGGTTTACAGGCACGACGACAGCACCCAACGAGGAGGAGTCGCCCTCCTAACTAGGAAGGACATTGACCACCACAGCATAGGAGTAGAGGACACCGACATACAAGAGGCTTACTCGAAAGGGCCAGTAATCGTTACTTCCGTTTACAGAGCTCCACAGCAAGCCCTGAACCTGCTGGATATCCAGATGTTAGGAAACAACAAAGCAAGGCTGTTAGGTGTGGTGATAGGTGACCTAAACTGCAAAAACACGGAGTGGAATAGCACGCGTACCTACAGCAAAGGCCGACTGTCAGCAGAATCAGTAGATGTCCGATGTGGAGTAATCCTAGGCCCAGAGATCCCGACAGGATCGGGAGCTCCTGAAGTGTTGGATATTGCCATTATCAAGAACATGAGGCAACCGGCCAGCATCCAGACTATAGAAGAGGGAACCTCAGACCACAACTAATCGAAATTCCGCAGTACACGGAACTCAAGATTTGGTATTTACAGACTCGAGAGCGAGGCCAGGGTAAACCACCACCAAACGATGACCTACACCACGAAGCATCTGTCAGAAGTACAGTAAGGATGCTTCGGAGCGAAAGGACAGGCAGCCGCCTCCTTCCAACTTCGCCAGCAGAAGTTGCAGCCAACATGAGAAGAACCAAAGCTAAGAAAGCCCCTGGCAGAGATTGAATCACCAACAAAATGCTGAAGAACCTGCCGAGAAAATGACTGGTAGCTGTAGCTAACTTGATTAATGCCATTTTCAGGACTGGTCATTTCCCCAGCATCTGGAAGCACTCAGAAGTCATAATGCTCCCGAAGCCCAAGAAAAACAGGACTTTCCCCCAAAACTACAGGCCTATCAGTCTGTTGCCCGCTCTCAGCAAAATAGCCGAAAGGGTTATACTGAAGAGATTTAAAGAGGAAACGAGCGAGCTTGATTTGCTTCCACCAGAACAGTTTGGATTCCGAGGAAAGCATTCCACGGAACTCCAACTGCTCAGGATAGTAGAAAGATGCAACAAATAAATTAATCAGTACCGAACGACTGGAATATTCATACTGGATGTCGAAAGAGTGTTCGACAGATTGTGGAGAGACGGTCCCATCTACAAGATGATAAAAACAGGTATCAACAAGAAACTATGCCAGCTTATAGACAGTTATATTTGCAGTAGAAGCTTCAACGTCAAAGTTGTATCACACCGGTCAGAAACCAGAAGCACTGAGGCAAGAGTACAGCAAGGAGCAGTGCTCTCCCCACTGCTATACAACATATTTGCAAGCGACATCCTGCCAATACGAGCCTGGCACTCTTTGCAGATGATACGGCCCTTCTGACATCCTCATGGCACAAGGAATGCATCAGGCAATTTCCCATAGACTTAACTACAAATTTAATAATCTAGTAGGTTTTCGATGAAATAAGTTAATAACTTTTTAAATACAAATACAAATGTAGTGAAATCGTCGCTAGACTTGATTGCCGAGTGATTTCGAACATTTTTGGCCTCTTGTGTTTTTCGCTCCTTCAACCGTTCTTTTACTTTAGAGTTTACAAGTTTACTTTGCTTACCCAAAATGCAAAATTAACCATCTACTTTTGACCGTAAGTTGCTAATAAATGCCTGTGGATTTTCACGATTTTTGATGTTTGATGCTCAGACACGCGATTTCCAATAATTGCTGATTTCTAGTGTTCAGGTCCATGTGGATATTCGTTTATCCAGCACGTTTGTACATAGCATTCTTATACAGTCAAGTAAATAAAAAAAACCTCCAAAATGCTAAGTGGTTGCTCTATTTATGCACTTCGAAAAATTTAATTGTCCAGAGCAGCACAATAAATTAAAAGAAAATTTAAATCCCGTCTAAAAACACACTGAAATTGGTTTAAATGTCTATTTAGCTCATAAGAAAACGCACGACGACTCAAAAAAATCTGCCCATTCCATTCGATAATCCCCAGAAGTAGTAAATTTTTATAAGCAAAAATCCCCACAGATGACGAGAAAATTGAACAAAAAATCGCTTTTTCTCATTCATCTAAGCCATTAATTTCCGATGATAGTTCGAGCGTTAATTAAGATCAACAGTCCAAGAGGGTATGAAGTTGATTAAAAAGTTCCGTCACGGCTTAAATCCCACTTTGAAGTTAAACCCGTTAAACTGGAAAAGTTATTACATCGTTTGCATAGAGGTGCTTTAAGTAGCTGCAAGCTGATAAAGGGATGTTTTTATTAGGTAAAGTTTGGCGTAGTTCCAAGCGCGTAGTTAAAAAAGCCGTTTTAGAGAAAATTTGGTATTGAAACCGATGCACAACATCACCTTAATTTCTAGGAAATACAGTTGGTATTTTGGAAAAAATCTAAAGATAAACTGCTCAACAAGTAAACGTTATTAAACGTTACACACAAGTTACACTGCAAGGAAGAAATTAGAAAGTTTGTCTGGGAAATATTGAAGCATCCTTTCTACAGTTCAGACCTGTCACCTAGTGATTTAAAATTTTCATCCATTTGTCCCATGGAAAAATTTGCGATCTTCAAAATAATTTGCAAAAATTTGATGTCAATCTCTAATTTTTAAGTTGTTCGATAATGTTGCAATATAAACAACTTAATAAAAGTGTCAACGTAAAAATCAGTCTGTATACGGCAATCATTTACTCAATAAATATGAATATCAGGATTAAAAACCATCCAAGAAAATAACAACATAGAAGAACACTTTTAATTACTTTTCGCATTGCTTTAATTTTCAATTTATTATTTTCCCCAAAAACAAGTGCCGGTTTCACGTTAAACTTCCGTAGTTTGCGGAAAATGTTGGGAAATTTTTGGAAAATTGCCTTTTTTTACTTTTAATGTCACATTTTGAAAAATTTGTATCATTTCGTAAAGTGATCACTGTTGAAATCTTGAGTATGCGCTTGACTAGACTCGACTAGACAGTCTGTAGACTGAATAGACTTCAGCCCACAGAAAACAAACTTTTGTTAGGAACTCCCAAATCTTCAGGCACCTGGAGTGGGAGCCACTAAGAGAGTTTCTCACAAGAAAAGAGGCAGCAGACTTGGAGAAAGCTGGAAGGCACTCGAACGAAGAGCTACGAAACCTGGTAAATTACACGCTTGAGAATCTGGTCCCCAGGAAAAAAAGGCCCAGGCACCAACTAGCCCATTAGGGCAACATGTAACAAACGATGTAAGCTGTAAGTGTGCTAATAACGTAGTGTTTGTAGTAAGTAGCATGCATGCATAAGTTACGGCGTTAAATTAATAAGATGCCCATGCTAGCATGGAGATAATGCGATGCTATGGGATACGGGTGCCTGAGCTGACAAATTCTTAGAGAGGACTACAAGTTTTAAAGAATAACTCCCGAAAACTCGTAGTACAAAGAGGGTTTTTTTTAGTTGGTAAAAATCCAACACTACCCAGGGTTCGGACCACTGGTCTTCGCAAATATTTTTTATTCCTCCAGTCGCCGGGCAAACAAAAAAAAATAGTTGGTTTCACATTGGATCCGCCAGACTGCGCTACCACAACCTAACGTACACAACCACCCTGACCTACAAATTTATTTATAAGTCTGTCCCGACTAACGATGCCAATGCTACGGATTTGGAGCTGAATGCTGCGATATACGGATAGCTTCTTGAAAATTCATGATCATATAATAAACGATGAAAAATATGTATCTTACAATAATATTGAAGATTTTGTACTCACATTTTTAATCCAACCATGCTCAAAGATATCACAGATATCAATTCTTTTATTTGGAACAACTTCCAACATTTTTTTAATTAAATCTACCAAGGTTGGTTCTACATCCTTCCATCTTTTATTGGTAAAGTCGTAGTTGCCTGTTGTGATATTTTTTGCTATTTTATGCTTGTTCTCGCCCCTGCAAATAAATTAGTAATTGTGATTTTAGGCACATGTAAAATCAATTAAACAAATTTGGTGAATATCACATACTTAAATGGTAGTTCCCGGGTAATTGAAAAATATAATATTACGCCCAAACTCCATATATCAGCAGAGTTTCCATATTCCCCGCCTTTACGATAAGAATGATCAATCACTTCTGGTGCCACATATGTTAATGTACCGCACATGGTGGTGGCATTGCTTTCTTCAGTCAGCTTCGACAGGCCAAAGTCCGTAATTTTTAATAAGGTTTCTTCTCTGTTGTCACGAAGAAGAATATTTTCAGGCTGAAATACAGTCATTAAATATAAAAAATATTGTACATTATACATTCATGATTGAACATATTGTCGTATCGGTAAAGGCCCGATTACTGGAAAACAATTCGGCTGATAAATATATGCGTGCAAAGCAGGAGCGCACGTGTTTTGCAGGGGAATCCAATTTTACTGGGAACCCATTTTTGAGCTGATTAACAATTGCCAGCAGGGCAGAAGCGCACGTGTTTTGCAGGGGAATCCAATTTTACTGGGAACCCATTTTTGAGCTGATTAACAATTGCCAGCAGGGCAGAAGCGCACGTGTTTTGCAGGGGAATCCAATTTTACTGGGAACCCATTTTTGAGCTGATTAACAATTGCCAGTAGGGCAGAAGCGCACGTGTTTTGCAGGGGAACCCATTTTTACTTGGAACTCGTTTTGAGCCGGAAAAAATTTGCCAGCAGGGCAGAAGCGCACGTGCTGTGCAGGGGAAACCCA